GAAAGCACATCGCTGGGAATAACCACCTACATGTTAGAGGGTTTGGTAAGGTCAGATAGGGCAATAGGTGGAAGTGTTTAGACCAGCAGTTCTCAACCTGTGGGCCGTGGCCCCTTTGGGGATTGAATGACCCTTTCACAGGGATCGCCCTATTCATAACAGTAGCAAAATTAGTTGTGAAGTAGCAACAAAAATAATTTTATGATGGGGGGGCATGAGGAACTGTGTTAAAGGGTCGCAGCATTAGGAAGGTTGAGAACCACTGGTTTAGAGAGCTATCATTACTATGGAAGAAAATCACCTATTTTCAAATGGGGAGGAATTCTTTTATTGGCATGGATTCAATGAGCGAGGGACACCTCGGTAAACCCACCTCCCGTTTGAAGGTCTATTCTGAATGACTCAGTAACAAACAAGGCGACACCAAGGGCCATGATCCCAGAAAAGCAATATTGCATTTAAAGAATCTTCAACAGTTTACCAGGTGCTCTTACAAGAGGTTAGGTTTTGTGTCAACTCCCAAACTCGGCGCAAGCCCAGGCGCCCTAGGGAGGATGCACCAGAGTGCAGTATTTGCTTTGTTGTGCCGGAGCTGACTCGACGGCATCTATCAACTTCTACGATGCGGCCTTTTTCACCAGTCGTTCCGACTGATGGCTTACATTTTCACTTTATCCCGGGAGAATCAAGCGACGCTGCCTCCGACTCTTGTAGGACTGAAACACCAGAGGTGGAATGTGCCGGCATACTTAACAGGCTACACTAGCGAAACTATGAGAAATAGTATGCTCAGTCTTTGGAACTTTTGCTTTGTTCCTGTGAGTTTTGTGTCACCCTGACTAGGTCAGGATCCTCGGTAGTCTCGAACGTAAAGCCTTGTAATCTCTCATGACGTGACTTAACATGTAATCAAATTCATAACAGGATCTGCTATGAGCAACCTGTTTAAGATCTCTTCTAAAATCAGGGTAGAATACAACCCCCTTACTCAAGTCAGCCCTAATAAGTTTCCTTGGGCCGTGGACTACTTCCCACGTCGAGGTGCTGTGGAAAGGCTAGCTTGCATTTTGCTGGGTCTGGAACCTGCATCTGGCTCATCAACCTTCAGTTCTCCAGACCTGAGCACAGGCTTGCCAAATTGCCTGCCAATCCCTGCACAGGCCATAACAAGCCTGTCATCTGATCTGCTGGGCTCAGACTCATGTCTGACCTATTGACCTTGGAGTTAAGGGCTTCTGCAGCCACCAATCTATGGGGACACAGACAAGCACTTGTTCACCTCTACAATTGTGACTTATTTTCTTGACAAATTCCTCTTTATATATACCCTCCAACACACAAGTACACACACGTGCACACACACACACACACACACACACAGATGATACACAAGTATCCTTGGTTTTATTTCTCATGAGCCAAACTTCCTAAGCAATACCCCCAACCTGGCTAGGGTTTTACATTTGTTAAGATCAATGATGTATCCCCAAAGAGAAGCTCTGGGCTGATGTACACACACATTCCTTAGTGATGCATCAGTAGTTTATGGATTGGACAGCACCTTGCCTCATGCTGGTCTGCATATCCCACTGCATGTGACAGAATGATGAGTATTTCCATTAAAAGTTCTTGGGCTTAAAATACAGAGGGGTCATATATTGTTAATGATTTCTATTGTACAACACACACATGTATACTTCAAGTCCTCATGCTCCTCAGGACAGTTTTGGGACACAGTTAAGGGTCCCCTTTAAACATTGCCCATACTTTTTGCAGCGGATCCAAGCTGTGTAGTGGTGTTCCCAAGGATGATTCTTGGTTATCAGTCCGCGCGGGGACTGGGCTTCATACATTTGAGATCATCTGACTGTCGCTTGGACCTTGTTGACCTACTGCCAATGAGTTGCCTCTGTTGAACCCTGGCTGCAAATAAGATTTGAAAGGTGCTTACATATAAGTTGCTGCAAGGTTCACTTGAGGAGGAGCTAGTTAGTCTGCAGCCAAGTTTCCAATCCATCAATCTTTCTGTGGCTTTCAGTTGGCTCAGTAGCTCACGGAGATAAGACTAAAATGTAGCAATGCTTTATTCTTAGATTCTACCACACAACCCACAGCTAGTGAAAATTAATCTCTTTAAGTGGGCTAGATAAAAAAGTTTTAAACACCATTGAGTTGATTCTTAGTGACCCTAGAGGATAAGTTAGAATGGCCCCTGAGTGTTTCCAAGCCTGGAGCTCTTCACAGAAGGCCATCTTTCTCCGGAGTAGTGGCTGGTGGTTTCAAACTGCTGACCTTGGTGAGCAGTCCCATGCATTACCCCCAGGTCCCGAGGGCTCCTGGGCTTGATGGAGTCATTTTAATCCAGTGAAAACCTACTATAACTCACCCACTTATTTGTAATTGAACCAATTCCTTAAAAAGAATTGATGTATGCCTTCGAATACCTCGTATGAAAATCCAAGAGAATGCTTAATTCATAAATTATTTCATATATTTATGAAGGTCATGGAAACTACATTGTATTATTGTGAAACATACATGGGACGAGACATGAAGAAATATAAGGAGGTGATAATCCTAAGAAACTATTATTATTTGCAATGTAGTCACTTAATATGGCTATAATCCATTTTGCGGTAACCTGTAAATTCTAGCCTCTATGCCTGGGTTGCAATCTCATTTTGGAGCTCTGTTATAGGAACAGACAAGATTAAGATGGGATGTACTGCGTCTTCACCTTAGTAGAGGGTGTGAATCCAGTCCACGCCTGGTTTTCTCGGGGATCAGGTCTATGGAAAGACAACCACCCCAAAGCTTTCCCCCTTTTGTGAGCATCCCTCCCTGGCTGAGCATGTTTAAGAAAGGCCTGTTTTGACTTTCAGACACATTTGGCTTCTGGTTCTAGACCCTGCGTGTCTTGCCTCTCCCTGATCTCCGGGGCGGTCTTTCACCTGACCCGAGTTCACCAGCTTCTGCAAGCAGACAGACGAGGCGGCGGCTCCAGGCAGATGTCCGAGCTTCAGGGCTTTTCCCACTGATGGCACCCGCTAGTGCCTCGGCTTTTGTGAGTTGTGCGAGCCGCTGCAGAGGACTGTGGCACCCCAAGAGGCGCAGTGGTACAACACTTCAAGGGAAGGAACATCCAAGGAAAGTGGACATTCGAGACACGTTTAATCTCCACCTCTTTGGGACCAGTCTGCTTTTAATCCCTGGAAAAGTTACCACATGTAAAATGTCAAATCACTAAAACTTTGAAAATAACATAAAGGGATCCTTTTAGCTTAGTTCCTATTTTCTCTTTTCATTCCTTGAAGCTCCTTTTATTAAGAAACAAACCACCACGTCCACTCAAGAGTCCTAAAACCAAGGGTCAATTTCAGAAAGTTAAAACAACTTACTCCTCACTTTGTAACGGTGCCAGGTTCTGGAGTAGCTGTTTAGAAAGACTGCGAATAGACTCTTAGCTCAGTTCTCCAAATACAGCTCTCCACGGCGCACAGGTATCAGTGCTTAACCGGTGGTGGCAGCTTAGAAGCCTCTTCGTTTGGGAGATGTTTTTACTTGCTGAACTACAACAGATTTAAACATTCAAAATCATCCTGTTTGGTTTGATTGTGAAATGTTTTTCATTTGGGGCAATATAAGTTTGCCACCATTAAGGCTACGTTTATGGTTAGGGCATTATCTAATACTTATAAAGGAGCTTTTTATATCAATATGGCAAAAAAAAAATGTCCATGTATGATGTTGAGAAATTGTATTGTTTGATGTCACAGAATTCGCATCTGCTTTTTTCACTTTTTAAATTGGGAGTTAATAGCATTCCATAATGCAATCACATCATCTGATTCCTAATTCAATAAAATTTTAATCAAATGACTTGCATCAAGAGTTGTGTGTAGCTCACTATGCTACCAGGTCTTGGTGACCTCTTTGACTACTATGCTTCTTAACTCGTAGGAACACTATTCCATTCCCTCTAGACGCTATTCCTAATTCAAATTCATTGATTCGCTGAAGCTCTCAGAGCAAACGGAAGGTTGTGTACATCTGGCTGACCAGACCCCGAGTGAAGGTGGATCACACTGCTGTTGCTGTTGAGTACCACCAAGCCCATTCCAAAGCAGAGGCGCGACAGTCGTATAGTCACCTAAGACCATCTTTAGGAAGTCATCACCAGGTCTTTCTCCCACAAAGCTGCTGGGTGGGTCTGAACCATGAACCTTTAGCTTGGCAACTACTAAACCCCGACCAGCAGGCTCCTTGGACTTACACTGCCAAGCTTCAATGAATGCAGTATGCGTGAGCACAGAATTCTCATGAAAGAACACAGCTTTCAGTACACAGACTTCGATGGAGACTGTCAAGAAACAATACCTTCACAATCAGCAAAGTTTTCTGTGACTTTATACCAGTAATTTTTCTCCTTCCATAGTAAGGTTTTTCTCCATACATGGTAAGCTTTCATATTTGACTCACCCAGATGGATGTATCAATAAATGAAGACGTTATGAATACACTAAGCCCAGGTCCTAACACTTAGATTTGTGAACATTTGTATTCATAAAAATTATGTGATAATTTTCATCAATATCCATGTTATTTATGTTTTAAGATACATGAGAAAATACTTTGGAGAAATAAAACTGCAGGTTACTTGGAAATGCAGTGTCACATTCTTCGGTTTCTCCTGCGCCAAGGTCATTTGAGAGGCACAGTTCTTAAATCCCACAACTGATGGGGGTGGACGGTCCAATGGCAGGACGTAGAAACAAAGTTCAAGGGATCATACCTGGATTCACAAAACAACGCTGTGCCCAATTCAAATAAGTAAAATAACCTTAACTTACCTACCATTTATTACTGAAGTCACCTTTTATTTTCTTTTATTAGTACCTTTTCTACTGGAAGACCATTAGGAAACAAACAAAACAAAACAAAAAAAAATCCCCCAAACAAAAAGCACCTTAAACACGATCAACTGTTAAAAAACAACCAAGAAGAGTTTAAAGAATATATTTGAACCACATAAACAAAAAGGTATTACATAAGAAAAATTAATGTAACAATTTATGTAAGTACCTAACATATGAGCATGCTCTTACATCTAAGACCAAAAAAGGTAACATTGGTAATATATATATGTATATATATTTGACAAGTGTGCATTAAAGATTCTCTAATATAAAACATTTAAAATGTGAAGAATACTTTTCAAGATACAGAAAATCATTAAGACAGGCACCCCCACAATTCATATAAAAACATGCTTGCAAAGATAAAATTCATCGGGCACTCACTGTCAGATGTGCAAAAGCTACGAAAACGTTAACCACGGGAAATGTCTCTCACTGTTGCAATGTCTGAGTGCCAACACTGACTGGTATAAATTCTGCATTACATAATGACTAGAAATCTTCAGTGTTTCCGCCACAGTTCCATAGAGAATGCATCCACTAATATGAACACTTAAAATAGCAATGTTATTTATATATATAAAAGGCACTATAATAATTCAAAGTTATTACAACACATAGTGCTTTGAGAGATCTGAAACTCCAAATCAACCAAAAGTAGATCTAAGAATCTAACTGAAAGGAACACAAATATAAAAAGCTGATAGATTTAAAGATTATAAAACTGGTTTATTGTAAAAGCAATTCAAGAATACCCAGTCGAAGTCTTATCCCAATGCTACCCAATACAACCAAGAAGCAGTTAAACACTTTTACATTAGAAACAAGGACATACAATAAAAAAGACCACATCAAGGTGGTGGTTCAAACTCAAAAAGCGCAAGGACCCTGGAGTCCTGGGTCTCCCCTTCAGGTAGAGGGCATGGTAAGATCAAAGCTCTGTGTCAGGCACCGCAGTGCTGTGACAACATTGAGGTATAACTGGGCAATTTAGGTTGAGGGGAAATGAAGGTATGCATACTCTTGTTCTGTGGGTAAACTGACATGATTGAAAATTTTAGGAACAGCTGCCATTAAAGACAGCAAGATCTGAGACAAAAATCTTTACTGATGAGAAAGAAGCTTATACTCTATCAAGGTTCCACTAAATTTTCACAACCCCCTACCTTCCCACCCTCCCCTCTTCTAAAACTATTCTGCTGATATAAAAGATGCAATCTTAATCTATAGCTTAGTAGCAAATTGTAGGCACTCCTTCCAAGTAGCTTTGATCTTCTGCACATGAAAACAACATGCTGTACCATCCATACACCCAACTATGCAGTCTGTGTAGCATGTATTCTTGCTCTCAAAATCCATCCTTCTGCACAGTGGACGTTTCCCCTCTAGACTTAACTCAAGATCTGATCTCTCTGATGTTCTCTTAATCAAAATCTGAGAGTCAATTATTACGAAGATCAACCTAGAAATCATTATATACAACACAGTGATTGCATTTCTTGAGCACTTAAAGTATTTCATATAAAACTTTTAAATCTTAACTTCCACAACCCTCTAAATCAAAGGGTCAACATACTTAAGTTCTTTTTGCGGGGAGGTTGTTTTTTTAAATTTGGAAAAAAAATTTTTTTAATCTTCCCAAGCAGAGGCTTTTCATAGCAGCTTTGGCCAGGAAGGAGATTTTACGTCTGTAATAAACCCTTGAAAATAAAGATCTACCCTAGAAACACTGAAAGACCCTTAATCATAGAGGTGTTAGCTGATGCCACTATAATTCACGACCAACTATTACCTTATAGCTTATACTGAAGAGCTGATTCATGCTCACTTTGTTCCTTTAAAAATACTCTTTGGAAACCATTATTACTCCTGTAGACTCATACTCTAGTTATATCTCTTCCTGTAAAAATAAAGGTATAATCAAGATTATCTCTATTTCTTAGCTAACTTCAACTACCAATATACATTTTATTAATCTGATCACTTCCAGCTAACTCGTGACCATACAGTATTCTATGTGATGTCCAGGGTCAATTCTCAGCATACAGAAGCAGGAGCCCGTCTTGCAGGAAAAGAACAATGTTATAGACTTCAAGCTAGTCTTTATCGTGCTCATTACAAATAAGGACTAAAGCGCCAGACTTCACTTTCAAAGCTAAGTGAAGGCCAACTTCCAAAGCTAAAGGAAGGTAACCCACTAGAGAGACGAGATCTGCCAGGCATATTAGAGCCCACTCGGCCATTTCCCATCAAGACTTAGAATTAGTCCTAGGGAGTAACAACAAGTAAAGGCATTTTTTGTTGGCTCTGTTCAAATTCATCAGACACTATTTCTCGGATGCCCAGAGGGCATGGTGCACGCTTCTCTAACCACTCTCCGTACTAACAGCCTTCTCTGGAACACTTAACTACCTCAAACACCTGCACGCTGCCCCAACCAGATTTTAAACTATCTGTGAAATATAGACTACTAGTCATGTATTCTAAATGCATACATTCAAAGCTATTGTTTTACAGTAAGTTGAAAAACCTAAAAAATATATATATATATTCTGCTATCACACTATCATAAACATTATAAGCGTGTGTGGTTATATAGAGAGCAGATAATCAAGATTTAAATAAAATGGTAAAAAAAAAAACCAAATCAAAATAAAAACAAAAAATAAGAAAATGTAGATTTCACCAAAAAGAACTATAATAATCTTCCCAAGCTACAACTATAAACAGATTCACTAATAAGGTAATTCGCCCAGGTTCTGACAAAACCAACCAATCAAAACAAAATAATAAAACAAAAACACAAGACCTATACTAGAGTACATGGCAATAATTAATATATTTCTATGGAAAATGTTTCATGCCTTATGAGCTCCTAAAATCAAATCAAAGTCACTAAGTGACTAATGATAGCACTAGGAGGAAAAAGAAAAACAAAAAAACACTGAAAGTAAAACAGTCTTCAGCCTTGGTTTCAGCTATCTCTTCAAATCAGCACTAAGTCCATAATATCAGATACATCATTTTTGGCTTGTCAGACCAGTAAGTCATGTTTTTCCACTAACCAAAGGCAGCTGAAGCAACAATTGCTTGAACAAACTAGATGTTGTGACATGAAGCATTTGACTTCCCAGTCTGAGTATTTAGTTAACATGATCATTGAACATCTAACTGGGAAAAAGGATTGGCACCCATCATCCAAATAGGCTCACTTTCCCCAGCCCCCCAAACGAACAGTAGTTATAATAGCAAAAGAAACAAAAAAAAAGGGGGGGGGGGTTGGATTCTTTAGAGCCAACTGTGAGAGGTCAGCAATATATTAACAGCAGCAACGGGTAAGGAAGAGCAAAATAGTAGATGAATGAATCTTGCTGGACATTGTTCATCTTTTTCAGTATGAGCCAGAAGATTGCAACTGCCTTATTTGGAAATTTCAGGTATGTATGTCTCATCTCCTTAGATCCTTCACAGATTTCGAATTCCGTCTACCTGAGGGCTCTATAACCATGTAAGAAAGCTTTCTTTATCTAGCTTGGTGGCAGCCAAAACGGATTCCATGTCATTCAGGATGTCAGAACTCAGAGCTTCCTGCAGACTTGGCATCAACTCCTCTCCCTCTATGTTCATTCCATCTCCTTCCAGTGTTCCAAGGTCCACATTTGTCCCAGGAATGGCTTCAAGGTAGTCTGGGAAACGGTTCTGCTGTGAGGGTAGGGTACTTTGGTTGATAGTATCACCTAATTAAGAGAAAGAGAGGTAATGAGGTAATTTTGGGAGGTTAACATCAGAGGTGCATATCACATAAGCATAGGAAATGAGAGAGAGAGAGAGAACAAACCCCTGACATCTTGAATTGATGACCAGAGTTTGACTCAAACAACCCAGAGATAAAAGAAAACACAATTTCAGTTAGTTTTGCGTCAGCATTTGTTCAAATATGCAACCAATGGCTTCATTGCAACAAAGGGCCGTGAACAGCAAATTCATTCGAACGATTCTATGCACCCAAAAGTGCAAGAACAAGTACACTGCACAGTAGCAAGCCCTGCACCGCGACAACAAGATTAAACATAAATCACACAGGCCAGGCCTTTCCCTTAAATAAGGCGCTGTGGGATACACATTGAGCTGTTAACTGTGTCAAGGGTTCAAATCCACCAGTCACTCCATGGGGGGAGGAGGAGGCTGTCTGCTTCCATGGAAACATACAGACTCCGAAAGCCTTCAGAGCAGTTCTATTATGTGTGCAAAAGGGTAGTTCTGGGTGGGAATCGGCTGAATGGCAGTGGGTTTGGTTTTGCTTTTCTCTCAATGATACTTTTGGGAAACACTAAAATAAAAGGACTGGAAAAATAAAATATTATCTTCCACTCCAGAGGTTAAATTTACAATAAAAAAACATGTCTCCCAGAAAATTCTGAGTATGCAAATTCTCACAGCTTGGCTTCCAGGTTTCCCAAACTTACCTGGCCCCGAGAGGCACAGGACAACACTAACATTCTAGAGGACTACACTGGCGACACTTTCAGAAAAGCTACCGCAGCCACTAAGTGCTGACAGAGCCTGGAGAAGGGTGGAAGAGGAGCAGGGGAGGTTTGTAACAGAGGGATTTAAAGTGGTTCCTCAGGATGATTACTACTTAGATAAGCAGAGGGAAACTTCGAAGCCAAGAGCTGGACTGAGCTCAGACACAAAAGACTTGCTAAACACTTTGAGAAGAGGAGCTGACAAATGAAAGAACTAGCTAGTTAGAGAATGGCTTCTTTCCGGGCCAATTTGGGCACACTCCAACAGAGCTACAGAGGCAGGGTCACCAGGTAAGCCAAAGGGGAAATAGCTCCTTCATGCCTGTGAGGCAGGTTATTTCTTGGCCCTCCTCCATCAGCCTCTCCCACCATAAAGACTTATGTGGAACAAAAGTTTTCATAGAAGATAGGAGCAGGCAGTGAATCACATACAGAACTCTCTCCAAAACAAAGAGGATCACCAACTGCTAAGCAATTGACTCGTTCATCAACACCGGACCCTGAAATACAGCCACGGGTATTTATGGCACGGAAAACTGAGAAAAGACTTTAATTAGAAACCACTACACAAAGACCATGCTCCATCTGAACCGAAGTTGTAGGATGTGCTTCTGATTAGTACCAGTGAATTATGTATGGCTCATGCTGGTGGCTATGTGGTGATTCCTGACAGCAGGTCAGGTTCCTAACAGGAATAAAGAACACCAACCTGTATCCATTTCATCAACACTGTTCAGGAAGTCATCTGGAGTCCGGGGGACACTGTAGCTGCTCATGCTGAGCCCACTGTCTGTGCTCTCATCCCGAGAGTGGTAGGTGCCACTGCAAAGAACAAGATACAAGTAGACTTAAGTAAAAAAACAAACAAACAAAAACAACAATCAACTCAAGGTAACACAACTGGATGATTTAGAGCAAACTCTTCCCCTGCAACATCTGAAACAAGCACCCTTCTTCTGAGCACACACGGCCCGTGTGCAACAAAGTGCAAAAGGCGTGAGTCCAAACTGAAGCTGGCAGCTTTCAGGGACCAAGATCTCTCCTTCAGGTCTGGCCACGGTGTGTGGGTGGGGGAGGGTAAATGGCACAGTAGCTGACAGAAAAGGATCTGCATAGGTAGTCTCTGTAAGACCACTTGAATCTGGCTTCAAGGCCTCAATTCCCCAGGTGTCAGTAACAGAAGTAGAGAGGTCAAAGCGCAAGCTCCACGTGGGAGGTGAGACAGGCCTGCACTAGACTTGTGTTCAATTCCTCACATCCTTTACCCCCACCCCCTGCCCCAATATACGACAACTCAAAATAAAGAGCCAGAATTCCTTTTGGACTGAGCCAAAAGAGATGAGTCACTGACGATAAGACTCCTGGCTTTTAGTTGGGGTGGGGAAGGTGGGGCTCAAACATCTCACCATCTTAAGATGGGCACCTTATAGCTCAAGTTGAAGGAAAGAGTTAAAAACAAACAAACAAACAACTAAACTACAAAGGCACACCCCTGGAGTGTGTGTGTGCATGAGTCAAGACAGATTTTTACTTTGGGCTAAATGAAGTTTCCCAGATTTATAGGCATGAATGAGAAATAAACATCATCAGAATATCACATTTGTAAATAGAACACTTTTCCGGAGCTACAAGCACGTAGACAGCAGCTGGCACGGGCTGTAAACGCCTTGTGCTCTCCTAATGCAAACATGACGGAAATGTTTGGAACCAAGCAATTATTATGTTAATGGTATCTGAAAACGAACATGAACTTTAACTTCCCCTGAACTGGACATTTTAAGCAACTGTAAACTGACACTAAACAATTTACAAGAAAGTTAAAGAAAATTTAAACAAGCTTTAACAATTGCTCAGTACTCATCATTTCTTCCCTAAGTGACGCAAATCATTTGCCTCATCTCTTCTAAGCAACCAGTAGTTTTGCTCTAATGCGCTGGTGGGGTCAGATTTTGGTAAGATTCAAAAGGCTCCCACAGACCCAAGAAAACACAAAGCTGCCTCTGAGCCCATGTGCACACTGCTGTGTCTGAGAAGGCCTTGGGACGTGGCTGGTTTCGATTCAGCCAGCTCTGACCTGGACTAAGGACCTGGTCCTACTCCTCCCCGCCCCCCCATGCTCACTGCTAAGCTGGGCCACACGTCAGACACAGAACAAGAGCAGACTGCTTCTGAGTTGGGCACAGTTCACACCAACACAGGGGAAGCACTTGAGCACTTCTGATGACAGGGTTTACAGGGCCATTTTTCTGACCAGACCAGCTCCCTGCAGAACTCCATTGTCTCCTGCAGCCCTCACCTTCTGATGAACGCTCCAGGAGCGTCTGCTGCGAGCCGACAAGCACAGAACAACCTCTGAGGACACAGAGGCGAAGGGTAGCAATAACATCCTGATGCGCTCCCACCCTGTAATCTTTCCAGGAAACAGCACCTCTGAGGGTGGCCTACTTCTCCTCTTCGTTTTAAGGACCAATCTTCAACACGTAACTGTTGGAAGGATATGCCACCTGGCCCATTTTTCTAACGAGTTTACTTTTCTCCCTGGATTTTAAGATATACCATCAGTGACGGCAGTACTAGGATCCCACCGAACCAACACTTTCCAGGTGAGAAAAGTTCTGTGCTATTGCAACCTTTCCCAATAAACCTCAGTTTAATTTTGCGCAGGCCTGATTTCAAGACACCCATCCTCAGGCAGGGCTTCAGAACAGGATGGGTGTCCGGAGAGGAAGTACACACTTAGAAACAGTTGAGAATGCCTTATAAGCCAAGCCTCTCCACGAGGCCATCCGAGCCAATCTGAAGGCCGGGTGAACGATGAGAGTCTCTGACGATACACGTTCTTTACCAGGACAAGCAATTTTGTTTATTCGTAGAATCTTACAGACCTCATTTCAAGTGGTGAGAGCTAAACTGTCATAGGATAAAATGCATTGCTATCAAGTTGATTTGACTCTTAGCAACCCTATAGGACAGGGTTAAACTGCCCTGTGGGTTCCTGAGGCGACACATCTTCAAGGCTGCAGAAAGCCCCATCTGTCTTCCCTGGAGCAGCAGCAGCGAGTCTCAGCGACTGGCCTCGTGGTCAGCGACCTCACAGGAAGTGTGCTACGCCACCAGAGCGCCTCTACCAAATAGTCACCGCTTTCCTACCTCATCCAAAACACTGGAAGCTATTTTTGAATGTGTTTAAAATTGGTTGAAAAAGCAAAGCACAAAACCTAGCAAAGCACACCCCACCCCATTTTTTGAAGAATGAAATCAATCTACCCCAATTGTAATTTTAAATGTTTTCTAGGTAAAGAATATGGCCTGTTTCAGCTTGCACTCTTTTTAACATAGCTACACACACACACACACACACACACACACACACACACACACACGCGCGCACGCACACAAAACACATTTTTGCAGTCTGCCTACAATGCCACGATTTGTGGGAATTCACTCAAAAGCATCCCTAAGCTATGCTATTTTCAAATACTATCATTAATCTTAACGTGTTTCTTAAGAAAATACCACCTTACACTTCAGCTCTTGGAAGCACAGCGCTTAGGAACAGAAGGCCTTAGTTGCTTACAATGTTGCTTAGTGAAAGCTCTCAAGCTGAACACCTATGTGGAAAATTCCTCCCAAAGATCTTTACAATGCTGTCCTAAGTAGGTTTTGGATGCAGTTCGTTTGTGTTCAGAGAGAGGCGTTCACATGTTCCTTCATGATTCTGTCATTTTAAATAACTGTTAGTCAACAGAAGGGCAGAGGCACACACGCTGGGACTTTAAGTATTCCCAGGGCAAGTCTCGACAGCGCACTTCCTCTCGCAGGAGATGCTTTTAATCCTCAGCGCTCAGTGTAGTCCCCATCAAGGAGAGATTCATTTACAGCAAGGGTGCTGTGCCCACACAGGTGTTCAAAACAACCTATTACAAGTACTCAGCACAATGATCTGCGAGCCGTGATCTCCGGCCCACACCATCTCGTGCTGCTCTCACCCGCCTACCTGTTCAGAAAGGGATCTGAGCTGTTGGTCGTCACGGTTCTCAGTTCCTGAGACATCCCCGGAGAAGAGACTGGGTTTTGAGACCCGCCATCCTGCTCCAACGTTGGTAACTGGCTACGGAGAGCTAGTTCCTAGGAAAAAGAACAAACATGAACAAACAGAATCAATGTACTGGGTTGATAACTGCATCATTGAATTCAAAGACAAAATGCACATGAAGGCACCTGTGTACATACTTGTATAGACTCAGAGTGCGAACATCCATTTTTTAGTTAAAATGTGCCCCAGTCAGAAATAAAGTTCTTCGGATGTTCAAGGGATTAAAGATGGAATTGCATAATTTAAAGTTTATCTAGCCTTATTAATCCAAACACATACATGCTTTAAGATGTACTGTATATACTCAAGTATAAGCCAACCCAAATATCAGCCAAGGCACCTAATTTTATCACAAAAACGGCATTAAAAATGTGCTGGAAAACACAGCTTATACAGGAGTAGATGCAGCAGTTTCTTTGGTCAGTTTCCTTACTCTTTCTTGTAGTAGAATCCTACTTAAAGTGTATTTTTCCTCACCAGCCCTCAAATGGTTGTTTAGGGTGCTCAGAACCAAGACAGTGTAGGAATAGTAACATTTGTTGATTTAACAGAACCACCCACCCATCCCGCTTGACCCTGTCATCAAGCATCTTTCTTTGACTTCCTATATCCTCTATTCTCACAGCAGGGAGAGGGGATCAATCAATCCGCATCTCTCACTTGCTCATGCACGCCCTGCTCTCAATCTCAAATCCCTTTGGGGGTACTCCAAACTCTCACCAGGACTCCTCCTGGAAGCGTGAATACAGGGCACAGCTGACAGCTTGTCTCAACAGGCTTCCATCCTGGGCCTGGAGCTTCTCTTGCCAGGACCGCCAGGCCAGTTTACCGCGCCGACAGACCAGTGCCGCCCTCGTCTCCCCATTGCCCCTTCCTTCTCAGGACTTCCCAGGGTCACCAGCACTTAGAACCGTCCTCTGGTAGAGCATCTGCCTCCTCTCCTTGCACTTTCTTGCCGTGCCTTGAGAGGTGGCATTTCATCACGAAGGTCCCTGCCTCCCCCGCAGTCTTCCTAAACTAACGCTGTTCGTTGAGACATGCTCCCTCCATGCCCCTCGAACCTTTCCTCAACCATATCGCCACTGGGTCCAGAGGCGGTGGCTCTGTACTGCCACTGCTAGACTATGATTTATCTTCCAAGCCCTTTATTTATGCTCACGCCTCCTCCTCCCTTTACAGGCAGTTCCCGGAATACAAACCAGTTCTGTTCCTAAGCCAATCTCAGTGGAATTTGTATGTATTGAACATCAGTTAACTAAATGTCTTGTCTGTAGAGTTTATCTTTCTGTGCATTAAAAACAAAAAGTAAAGAAGCACTTATAGATACACTAATTCTAACAATAATGTAGCAAGAATAATGCTTTGGTGTGTGTTGCAAAGCCTATTGGTTATTATATATCACTGTTCTGTACATTTGTAGCCATCATCATTCTCAAAACATTTTCTTTCTACTTGAGCCCTTGGTATCATTTCCCCCTCCCTCATCCTTGATAATTTATAAATTATTTTTTTCATGTCTTACACTGTCTGATGTCCCCCTTCACCCACTTTTCTGTTGTCCATTCCCAAGGGCGGGGGTTATATGTTGATCATTGTGATCAGTTCTCCCTTCCTCCCCCTTACCCTCCTGGGACCTCAGATTTTTAATGCAAAAAAGGCTTTCCAGGCTTTACAATAAATAGTTAACTCCTAACTATAGGTTGTACAGAGCCTGGGGACAGCTAGTACCATCCTTAAAATCTCGTTTTCTAAACTAGAGGGGGAAAACCCAACTTGCGTGCAGTGAGTGGATTCTTATTCACAGCACCCCTATAGGACAAATGGGCACTGCCCCAGTGGGTCTCCGAGGCTGTAAATCTTGATGCGGGTAGGAATTCTCATCTTTCACCCAAGGAGCTACCGGTGGGTTTGAATCACTGACCTTATGGTTAGCAGGTCAATGCATAATCCACTATGCTACCAGAGCTTCCTGAACCTAAGGAATCATAATAGAATTCAGGGGTCTCTGAACTTGACTGGAAGGGGTGGTGGTGGACATCTTTAAATTTCACTCGTCTCTAACTGAAATTTAACACTTTCCTCAAATATGAATGTAGGCCACAAAGAAGTAGTCACTGTACCCTTTTGACTTTTCACTGATCGAAAAATTTTCATATTACACTATAGTTACTGCAAATATCTTGGGGAATGATTTGTCCATTATCTCAAATTATAATAATTATAAGACACTGTTAAGGACCCCCGATGGTACAATAGCTCACTGCTTGGCTTTGGCCAACCAAAAAGCCAGGACAGAAAGGATCTCCTCGTTGCTCCTGTAAGTACTACAGCCCACAATCCCCGAGGTAAAGTTCGGTGCTGTTCTTTAAAGGTTGGTGTAAGTGTGAGTCAACGCAATGACACACAGTAACTTAACAGAATGCTAGATCTTATACGCTAATAAAGTATGCTACAATTACATGTTTGCATTTGATATCTGAACAATTATTTAAATAAAATGGCTTCTCTCTGTAATGGTATACATTAAAAAAACAAACAGAAAGTAGTCTGAGAAGTGCTATCTGTGTGGGCTGAGCAAGAAGGCCACAGGAGTTCACTGCTCTTATTTACAGACTTCTTTGCGACCCTGTCTTACACATGGAACTTTTAGAACCTGGTTCAGAGTCCCTTACCACTCAAAGTATTCTTTCAATACTAGGGGTCAGTAGAGTGAGTCCTTTGACATAAAAGCTTCCTGATGTTCTGCATCCCAATAATCTCCATCTGCACCTATGTCGATCACCCGAGACTCCCATGACCACCAAGATTTAGTTGTTTACAACCAATCAATCTCTTAAATCCTTAGTAATCTTAGGCATAAGGAAGATCATGTTTCAGTGCACCTCAACCTCATCCAACGCCCTGGAGATATTAGTAGCTATGCACAAAATCATTCCATACTCTATCCTTGAGATTCTGGATACCCTTTAAATTGCACTGATATTGACTGCCTCATCATTGCACTTCGAACATGAACTACTCAGAGGTTATATCTTAGACCTGGCTGCTTTGGAAATGTCTGCCCAAGAAGTCTTACCTGAGTTTTTATTCCACTTTCTGACCATGTTTTTCCTCCCACCCAGTTCCCCTATGAGGCCGTTCCTACACAACCATTCTCTATGGTCATGCTGCCCAGAGCCTTCGCTGTTCTTACTCGTGGGCTTTATTGCTCCTTTCTGGCTCAATTATAGGTTTTTTTCTCCTTCTCTACCAGCTTTTACTCATGAGTTATGAACTGAAACCCACGGGTTTCTTTCAGAATTCTGACACACACACGGCTTTAGCTTATACTACAAATACCAGCCTGAGATCAAGGTTAACTAACATATGCTTTCTTCAGACTGCTAAGTGTACTTAAGGAAAAAATCATACATCTATGCAGATGGTTACCATGACAAATTAATGGTCTTTAGTATTAGCTGGTCTTGTCTAGGTAATTCTCCATGAAAAGTGTACTTCTACCACAAGACTGTATTAGCCTTCTCACCAATGCACCATACAATAAAATCACAGCAAGTGTCATGTAATATCGTATTTTTACTTCCTCCTGTACCACAATGAATGGCCAGACTGGGAGGGTAAGGCTCTATTTCAAATACCCTGAAGAAACGACAGTGCTCTCAAAAATATGACTTTATTTAGCAATACACTTTGCATTACTGGAACAAATGAAAAAACAAAACAAAACAGGCTATTTTGTGTCCTTTAACAAACACTTTCCAGTGACCATAAAGGGTGTAACACCAATGAGCTATTCAGATTTACAAGGAAAGGTAATTTAAGAGAGGCAAATAAAGATGGCAAATCACGCCAAGTCACCTAAGAAACTAGCCAATAACCTGAAAGGCTGTGGAAATACTTATCATCAGTCCTATAGCTGAGCCATAACGAAAAGTAACGAAGCTAAGAATTCACTTAAATTGAACCTGCAATGATTCAAGGAACAAAATGCCACTTTATTCAAGGTATAAATATTTAGTCTGATTTTAACATGTCTAGCAATAGCAAACAGAACAGGATTGAAAAGATGCCCCACGCAATATTTCACAATAGCTTGAAGTTTAACTGAGGTACAATAAATTCTACATTTAGGATGTATATGCTGATGAGCTTTGACACAGGGTAGTGGAGGCTTCAAAAATTTACAGAAAAACGGAGTTGAAAGATGACGGTTTGTCCCATGAACTCTCTGGTGCTCCCACCCAACCTGCAAAACCATCACCACAATCAAGGTAATCTCCACGTTTTCTTTTGTCCCCATGAGAATAATGCTCTGCTGTCAGTAAAGACTGGTTTCTGTCTAAATCTGATGTCAATAGAATCATAAAGTATGAATTATTCACTTAGCATGATTTTTTTTGAGATGCACTCATGTTTTATCAATGGTTTATTCCTCCGTATATAGGATGCTCACTTCGGCAGCACATATACTAAAATTGGAACGATACAGAGAAGATTAGCATGGCCCCTGCACAAGGATGACACGCAAATTCGTGAAGCGTTCCATATTAAAAAAAAAAAAGACAAAATAAAAGATTCTATATAAGGCTACGTTTATTTACCCATAATGACTTGTTGGTAAATATTGAGGCTGCTGTATGAGCCCCTAATAAAACGATTTTAAAAAATCTTTAAAAAAAAACAAAATAAAGTTAATAACATAGTCTCAAAAAAAATACTGATGCTGCTTCTAATTTTGGGCTTCATGTAGACATACTTTCATTTCTCTTGGATACCCTAAAATTCTAAAAGTCTAGAAAATATTTTGCTTCTAGACAACTGACTTTCACTACCTTTCTCATTTTTTTATGTGCACCAACTTAATGGATTTTATATGGGGTGAAACACTTTAATGCCAAATATCTTTAAAAGTGTTTTGTTTTTTCATCCTATAGAGAACCCTATTGCTAGTTACATGAAGGAAATATTTAAAAACAAAACAAAACAACCAAAGGCCAATGGCTTGGCAATGAGTTAAGAAAACTGCAGCACA